TGGAATGTGAGCCAGGGTCGTCACTGAGTCTGGTCTAGTCGTCCGCTTCTTAGCAACTGTGCACCCTCCGTTCTCCCCGAGAGGAGGGGTGTCCATCTCACCCCGCAGTGCTTGAGGGAGCAGGAGCCTTCCTCTTCACACGCTCAGGTCTTCACCCCTTCGAGGAGTCTCAGGACCCGTCGCATACTTTTGCATTTTCGCAGGTCGAGGACTCCTCACGAGCATTTCCAGGGCAAATACTTAGGGTTTCCATGCACAGCGAGCTGGAGGACGCGTTCTGATCTAACGATCAGCGGAGAAGTTGATGAGGACCGAGCGGCTCCTCCTGTCTCCACGAATTCTTAAACCCCTCTGCCTCACTGACTTGAACCACTGTCAGGGGATGGGACGGTGGAGAGAGCCCCCTGCCCAGGAGCCCCTCCCCGGGAATTTGCAACAAAGACCAGGAGAGATTCAGTCATTCCCCTGGCTGGAGCTGTAGTCCTGTCAGCTCGGAGGCTGTCAGCTGCGTGTTCCCAGCAGCAGGAGCAGAGGAAGCCGGTCTGCAGAGACACAGACAGAGGGCAGCAGACGGCGGCCAAGTGAGAAGAGGGAGGGAGAGAGCTAGAGGCTCAGTTCCTGAAGAGTCCGTGAGGCTCTTGTGAGCAGACCGCCTCCTCTTGAGCCGGCTCAGACCGACTTCCCTCACTGCCCCTGAGAGAGCAGACCGCACGGCGCCGGCAGCTACCTCCTTACCTGTCAGTTTCCTGTCTGTTCGCGAGAATCGTCATCCATTCATTCAGCAGACCTTTACTGAATGCCTTCTCTGTGCCAGGCACTATGTCTCCGGGGAGACATAGCTGGGAACAAAAGAGATTTTTTAAAAACTCCTTCCTTTATGAAACTTACCTTCTACTGAAAAGGTCTCTGGAGATAAAGTAAACAGAGAGGAGACATAACCCCCAAATCAGGGACCAACAAAGGCCTGGTTGACCCAACAGACAGAGCACAGCCCCAGGTCTTAGAAAATGTCCCAGAGGGTTAGTGGCCAGGGCCACTTAAAACAAGACACATTCCTTTTGGCTTTAAGATAAAATTGGATTGAAAGGGTTCACCCTCTCTTTAGCGTCTTTTCTTTTACATCTTGGTGCGGCTGCTGGAGGCCCCTTCTGATACCCTGCTCATAGGCCCCACACTCAGGCAAACTCTCGCGATACTGCAGTTCCCTACCTGCTTTGGCTGTGGGCAGCTTTCAGTCTGTTTATCTCAGTTACTATGGAGGCAGTAGATAATACACGTAAGTGACAAATTAAATTCACAGATAATTTTCAAATCTAATTTTGGCCACCCCTTCTCCCACCCAGTTATTTATCAAAACTACTTAGGAAGCCCATATTAACTGATTCGGTTCTACCTTCTGTTGCTGCCTTTTCGAGAGCTGCAGATAAACAGAGCGAAGATCAAAAGGCAGGCAGCAGGAAGAAGACCGAGAAGATGCCGCTGTTCAAAGGCTGAAACAATCTAGAAAGTTCACTGTGTGAAAGCCCAGCCTTCCACAGTGCTTAATGTCTGACCCTTGTTCCTGGGCTAAAATCTTCCTACTTATGCAAATTACCCAGCATTCTTACGTAAAACCAGGAATGAAAGCACCCTTTACTTATTGTTTTCAGTATAACTACAATGCAGAGACTCATATAATCAAGAACTAATAAAGGACTTAGTAGCTCTGGCTTGGTGGCCCTTCTCAGCTCCCCAACGTTCCTTCTGGCCATGTGAAGCTGGTCATCACTAGCCAGCCAGAGGCGGGGATTCCCCAGAGAGACAGTCCACGTTCCACAGTGTCTCAGCCAGAAGTGATGACAGTTATTTTTATCTTTTTACATATTCTATACCTCAAGTGCCTCTCCATCTCCCCCTCAAATTAATGAAAAACATTCATTCCTCTGTGTGTGGGTGTGCATGTGCAGGAGCGTGCGTGCACACACCCACACATCCACCCGCGCGCACACACACACACACACACAGATTCGCCCAAATACGTGATCAGCGTCAGTGGGATCTGGCAATGTATCAGAGCTTGTTTTAAGATGGAAATGACTATTTTTTCCCACTTTCTAAGGATGGTGTGTCTCTCTGCCCAAGAAAACAGGCTTCTTTCTTGGTGAGCTCCTGCGGCTGCAAGATCTCCATCTTGTGGAGCAGTGTCAACCACAGACGTCTTCCTGGCTCCTACATCTCCAGATGACAAAGCTCAAGTTAGATAATAATGATTTAAGAGAGGGAGCAGGGCAGAATTTCAGAAGCAATGACCAAACTGGGGTTTTAAGACGAGTGGCAGGTTTTGTTTCTACTCTCAAAGAATGGAGAGTGGGTAACTGCTAAGCTAGCCCTCCAACTCAGGACTTGAACCCAAGTTCTGGAGAGACTTTCATCCCAAAGCCTTTGTGAATGGAGGCCTGCCTGCCTTAATATGAACCCCCACCGTGCCTCCTTCCTACCCTCCCATGATTTCTGGATGGAGGCACTCAGACCTTTCTCCTAATCTTATCCTGAAGACAAGGTGAATGCATGCAGACAAATAGCTAAGCAAATATTGCCTCATTATATTCATAATGGATCTGCAGGCTCCCCGACCAGTGCCAGGCAGAGGATAAAGGTGCAACATCCCAGGGCGAATCAGTTCTGCTGTGCCAGGATGCTCTTTCCCCTCTCATCAGAAAGGCTCCCCGGGGGGCCAGCCCTGTGGCGTAGTGGTTGAGTTCAGCACACTCCACTTCAGTGGCCTGGGTTCACTGGTTTGGATCCTGGGTGCAGACCTACTCCATTTGTCAGCCATACTGTGGTGGCATCCCACATATAAAGTGGAGGAAGATTGGCGACAGACATTAGCTCAGGGCTAGTCTTCCTCAGCAAAAAAAAAAAAAAGCTCCCAGGGCCCAGCCTGGCGGTGCAGCAGTTAAGTTCACATGTTCTGCTTCGGTGGCCTGGGGGTTTGCTGGTTCGGATCCCAGGTGAGGACCTAGCACCACTTGTCAAGCCATGCTGTGCTGTGGCAGGCGTCCCATGTATAAAATAGAGAAAGATGGGCACAGATGTTAGCTCAGGGCTAATCTTCCTCAAAGAAAAAAAAAACGGCTCCCTGGGGTGGCTAGGACTACGTCCAATGCACTGATCTTTCAATTAGACTACCTGTTAGTAATAATAAATGTCAGGTACTAGGGAATCCTGCACAGGGTTGCGAAGAGCACTGGGTTGGGAATCAGGACCTGGTGTCTATCTCCCTGAGGATCTTGGGCTAGCTCTCAATGACTATAGGCCCAGTGTAATCTTTGGCTCACCAGCATAGGATCCCCTCTGGTCCTTGTTAAAGATGCAGACAGTAGTCCCAGCTCCACCCCAGACCAACTGAATAAACTTTCTGGTGCCGGAGGCCTAGGACTCTGCATTTTTGCAGCACATCAAGGTTTGGGACCTGCTCAAGTTTTGGAAGTCTTTACCTGGAAACCCAGCAGCTGGACATCTGACTGCCACGCTTGCTTCCTTCTCTAACGTTCTGTGGTTCTGAGCAGATGCTCATTTTTTTAGGTTGGTCTCCATATTCTCCAGCCACATTCCCATGGCATTACTTGTCACTTGACAGACAATGGCCAATTCACCAGGATTCAACAAGCATTTGACAATAACTATAACTTCATTTCAACCTATTTTGAAAATTAAATATTTCCTAACCCTGGTTGTCAGTGGATACAATGATCATATTAGTATTTGAACATATGACTTGCTCCCCATGTCAGAAAGGAAACATTCAATATTCACTCCATCCCCTTGCCATGACTCTGCAGGAAAACCTCCACATAATAGGATGATCCATCTCCCTTCATGAACATGGAAGTCACTTTCTGGGATTGTGGACAAGCCACTCTCAACTAACTTCCTGAAGATTCTAAGGATGAACTGGATTTCAGCTCTTAAATACTCCGAGCACCTGATCTAACTCTCCAGGCTCTATAATAGTAAGATAGGAAAGAGCAATAATGCCAGACAGTGTTTCAAAACCCTTATTATCATTATTTATCTGTGTGACCAGTTAGTTTATTTGGTTAAATGCCAACTCAAGAAGCCGAGGACATGGTTTTGATCTTTTGTAGGCCAGTTGACTACAATCACTTTCTTTCATGGACCACTCGTCTTGAAAGTGTCAGCCAAAGGAATCTGAGTAATAATGTGAGGAAGTTACTGGTAAAATAACCCTAGGACTGACGTTCTTTGACATTAAGTCAGAAGGTTCTTTAGGTACTAAAGATACAAGCGGTATACACGGCCATGGGCACCCTCAGGCAGAATCTCTTTTAGATTGTTTTGCAGTATCATTTGTTCATTGTAACCCAAGTTAATTCCTTAATTCCATTACTTCCCCAGAAATACACTTTTCTAGAATACAACTGGTGTCTTTATGTGGTTCCTGGCTCACCTGCGGGCTAGTCACTCCAGTGCAGCCTGGATCAATGTCTCTCCCAGTAACTCCTTCCTCCCTTTCTAGGATATAACATCTCCCTTCTTGGATCCCCGAGCTCTGCCTTACTTGCTCTCCCGGCCCCACGTACTGGAGTCCAACACTGGAGATGGCAATATAAACACCTGCAGAGAGCATTCCCATAGCCGGTGCTTCACCCAGGACCCAGTGAACGAACCAGGGTTAACTCAGGGGCTGTAAAATGGAGGAAGATGGGAAAGGGGAGGTTTAAACTCCATCCCTGAATTCTTTTGTTCGTAATAGTAATATTAATAGCTACCACTTATTGAGTATTTAACTTTGTGCTAGCCCTTGGCGACAGTGCTTAAATGCACTATCTTACTTAATTCGCATAATATTCTTCTGCCCCTGTCTCAAATTGAGCTCTAAAGTCTCAATTCCTTCCCTTCTTCCATGTGTGCACCGTGTAGCAGGGTTCTAAGGACAAGACCAAAAATAAAAGGAGACTCACGAAAGATAACTGCGTGTCCAAATAAGGAAAGGGAGAGAACCTTCACCGAAAGGGATTTAATGTCAGAGAGAAGCTGTACATCTGGGTGAGAGATGAAGAGACCGCGCCAGGCCAGCCGAGCCTGACCTAGCTACGCATCCTGTTGTTCACGAGGCCTCCCTTGAAGCAGGAGGTGACAGCAGCAGCATCACAAGTTTCCTCTCCCTGGGAGGGAGCACAGTGCAATGTTCACTCCATCTAGTTTGCACCTGGCTTTCTGCAGCTTAGGCACAAATATTCAGTTCATGTCTTTCCTGACACGTCAGGTCAAATGACCCCCTTTCCTCATGGTGGAGGGGATTGTGGCAGGAGCTAGTGAACAGTGGAGGAAGAATTCTTGCTGGAAAGACAGCCCTGGGAGTCTGGGGAGGTGCGGGCCCCCTCGTGGTCACTGGGCAGAGATGACATCAGACCTCTCCTCATGCCTGTAACTGTGGACTCGGCAAGTATGCACACAGCTGAAAGGGTAAGACAGCACTGGGCCTCTCACAGAACCAATCCGTATTCTGGACAAGACCCTGACGACATCACAGATTAAGCTGAGTGCCTGCCACCTTCCAGAGGGCCAGCATCTACGCAGCAAAGACTCCAGACTTCCAGACAAAGTCATCTTCTCCATCTAACCACCATCTCTCTCCTCAAGTCCATGGTGGAGAGACGACAGTGAATATTCCCAAGTCCCTACACCCTGAGAGTCCCCACCGGAGGGTGAGCAGCCTCCTCCCACTCACCGGGAGTCGAGAACCAGCAAAGCCAACCCTCAAAGATCTCTAGCGTCTCTTAAATAAGCTTTTCCTTTCCATTTTCTTCTTTTAATTATTTATCATCCACCCATTTATTTATACAAATATAAAATAGATTTATATAGATTTATATAATATAAACTTTGTGAGGCAGAGTGGAGAAGAGGGCTGGGAGCGTGGGACCCTCCCTGGCTATTTGCAGACGTACTGGTCAACAATCTCCGTGCACTTCTTGCACTTCACGAAGCAGCACCAGTGGAACTTGCAGTGGCAGCGCTCCACCTGGAGGCTCTTGAACTGGTCGTAGCCACGGCCACAGCACATGAGCTCGCAGCCGTCCATGCCCTCCGAGGTCTTGTTGCAGAGGCGTCCCTGGGTGCCCAGGGAGCCTGTGGTCTCGTTGCGCAGGCAGTAGTCAGGGCTGGGGTCCACGTAGACCAGGTCCTCCGGGGTGGGCTGGTTGAAGCGGCTGTTGACCAGCTCCAGCTTGCCTTTGCGGGTGATGCGCATGGCAGCTGCGCTGTCATATTTCTCCTTCAGCTGGTCCCCCACCTTGCGGAACTCGGCCAGCTGGAGCCAGCAGGTCTTGAGGCTGCAGGACCCTGAGACGCCATGGCATTTGCAGGCTATGTCTGCCATTTTATACACAGCCTGTGGAGAGAAAGAAGGGAATAAGAAGGAGCATCTTAATGGAAGATGTCAAGAGGGTAGTGAGGGTCACCCCAGGCCAAGTACAGAAGAGGGCTGAGGGGGTGTGTGTAAGGCGGGGGTGATAAATTTTCAAATGCACACAGAGATCTTTCCAGGATCCTCAGGTGCTCAGATTGAAAGCAGACAAAAAAAGCACCACACAGAAAAATTGAAAAACGCTGGGAGGCAATGCTCCTGTCTCATCAGCTACTAGGATGGCGTCTGGAGCACCTGCACCTTTGACTTTATCCATTTCTTATTACTTGAAATTTCTTACAATAAATGAGTCATCTTTACCATCAGGGAAAAAAAGGACATGTCTCTGGTGATCAAAGTCTGAAGCAACAAATAAAAACCAACAAAAGCTGTCTAGCTTTTAAGTACAACTTAGAAAAAAGAATTCGGTCATCATACAAGCCCATAAGAGAAACTGCTGGCACGGCCGGGTGAGCCAGAAGCCCTCCCTGCCTGGCCAAATCCCCCAAGAATTCAACGTCCCTCCTTCTGCGTTAACATTCGCTCATTAACTTCACAGTCATCAGGAGCCTCGCCGTAAACCACACGACGACGTTTGTGAGCAAGACCACTTTCTTCCACCCCCGCACTCCAGACACCCCATGGGAGAGGCCGTGAGCGTGGAGGGAGAGGGGCGTGGCCCTGGGCAGTAGGAGAGCAGGTCCAGGGCTGGGCTGTGGGGTGATGCATTTGAAAACGAATGCACCCAGAAGTCACTGAACCACAACAACGTGGCGTGGATTTGAACGTGGGTTATCCCAAACCAAAATTTAAAAGCAAGATTAGACCAGAAAGCTGCTTACAAAGTGTTTTTCAGTGAAAGCATACTGATGCATTGTGTCAAATAACCCTGGCAGCAGGCCCAGAAGTGCAGATGGCAGGAGAAAAATGCAAGCCCGCTGCGGAACATTTTCTTATGCTACAGCTATTGTCACCAACTGAGTCGAGACTCATTTTTCAAGGGCTTCTCTCAGATTTCTTTTCAACAGTCCCCAGATTGTGTCTTTATTCAGCACTATGCAGAGACCATTGCAGGTGCAAGAAAGAGCTTAACCATCATCAGCTCACATTACTTTGGTCAAAACTCTTCCTGATTTTTTCTGGTATGGAATTATTCCCACTTCTTTATGGTGGAGAAATTGAAGCTCTAGAGAGGCTCACTAACCTGTCCAGGGCCACCCAGAAGGGCGTCCGAATGACTAGCACTTCCGCCTCCAGTCTTGGAGCCTAAACACAGCTTGGGGGGGAGGAGGAAGGAAGGCTCCTCCCCAAGGTTAAAGGCACCAGCCCTTGGCTGGCAGCTCCAGGCCCACAGCATAAAGGAAGCGACCCCCCATTCCAACAGGCACTTCAAAGACAGGGCCTGCAATTATCCTTCTGGCACAAATCCCCCAGGTCTGAGCTGGAGCCTGACATTCCTCTGGAAATGGTCCTTGGTTTAGAGAGGGATGTCAGGCATCTGGCGCTGCTGGAAGAGGAAGCTTTAAGGGCGTAAAACTGTGTACCCTGCCGCTAAGTGACTAAGGGGGACAGGATAAGCATCTCCACTGGGAGCAAACACTGAGGGAGATCTGGGGAAAGAGAGTCAAAGCAAGACTCACAGAGTAAGGATAGGAAGTTTAGGAAAACAACTCCAGAAGCAGAGGGTCACGGACCCTCGCCAGTGAGACATTCATTCCACCTTTCCTCTAGGAAGGAAGACATTGTAGAGACAGTAATATTCATATTTTAAAATATTTTACTATTGATAATCTATATAAGCTCCACTTGTAGAAGGGGGAAAAATCCTAATTTTTGGCCTTTCCTGCTAACTGAAAAAGCAATAAGATGTTTTTAAAATTTTCCTGGTTGTACATTTTGCTCCCTGGCAAAGCCCCCGCTAAGTCCATCTTCAACATCTATCTAATGGTGTGACTGACCTTGGTAAGTGACAGGAAGGCCACAAGAATTAGGCAACTTTTATCTGGAACATGCTTAGAAGCCCTTGAGTGACAAGGCAGTATCTACCCATGGGTCTTGCCATCAGTATCTAAAACAGAGTTACTAGAGACTCTTAAAAGCCAGAAGTTCCTTGTAAATATGCCCAAGATTTACTCTGTGGTCAAGATATCAGATCCCAGATATTCTATTTAAAAAAGAAATCTGGGGGCCGGTCCGGTGGCGCAGTGGTTAAGTTTGCACATTCTGCTTTGACGGCCCGGGGTTCGATGGTTCGGATCCTGGGTGCAGACACGGCACTGCTTGGCAAGCCATGCTGTGACAGGCGTCCCACATATAAAGTAGAGGAAGATGGGCATGATGTTAGCTGAGGGCCGGTCTTCCTCCGCAAAAAGAGGAGGATTGGCAGCAGATGTTAGCTTAGGGCTAATCTTCCTCAGAAAAAAAAACAGAGAAAAGAAAAAAGAAATCTAGTTGTAAAATACTAGTCCAGGGAATTTTCAATCCCTGCTACTACTTAGTCCTTCCTTGAGAAACTTCTTGCGTAGGCGTGAGGAGGTGGGTGGGGAGTACCTTTAGCCTCAGATGGTGATTGATGGCAGAGCCCTGTTCCTTGGAGAGAGGATAAAAACTAGAGAGGGACAGGAATTCCCAATCTGGAGCCGACAGAGGCAAAGGGAGAGATAAAGGGCTATGGAAGAGGTGTGGAGACTGGAGGAAGGGAGCCAGAGACAGGGAGACAGACAGAGGAAGACAGGGAGGGTGGGTAAGCGGGAGAGGCAGATGGAGGGGAAGGCCTCTGCCAAGATAAGGGCTGAGCACAAACAAACAAACAATTAAGGGCAATAAAATGAGGAGCCAGCAGAAGTGGGGTCAAGACTGTGACTGAAATGAGGCCCAGATTAGGATGAATGCCTAGTCACCTCCACATCTGCCACAATGCCCCAACGACAGCGAGCAGAGACAGGGAGCAGAGACAGGGAACAGCCTTCCGTGAATTTGACCCCTGACTCTTACTCGGAGGCAATATGGGAACTTCCCTCTGCATGTTCACATGCACCCACCCATGGCAGGCACAGTGAGAGCTGTTGCAAAGAGCTCAGATGGCGATCCATGTCCTCAGAAACGCACAACCAATAAGACGCACAGCCAACAAGACGAGGTGGAGGAAGCAACACCGTAAGGAAAGTATAAAATGCTCTAGGGCAGTGCAGACGCAGAGACTGCAATTAGGGGGGAGGGGAAGATTTTAAGGAGCAGGTGGTATTGGAACTGCGATCTTGAAAAATGGATAGAATTGGGGCATTCAGGAGATAAATTGCAGATCTTAACCTTTTCCACCAATCTTTCTGTATTCCTCATGCTTAGACACCCAAAGACTGGCAAATGGACTGGTAAATAGAGAGAAAGCCCTAGGAGACTGAGGCAGCTCCTTCAGGGTAGAAGGTCAATCCAGGATGGCTCTGGTCTCTTTGCCCTGGTTTACACCACACAAACCACAGAACTCCTAACACTGCCGTAGATCGACACCACCCCTCAACGCACTCACACTCATATCTGGCTAAACAAAACTAGCCTCCAAGTATGAGATATGTAAGAAAGACACTGTGCAAAGGACCAATTCTAATTTCTTTCTTTTTTTTTTTTTTTTTTTGAGGAAGATTAGCCCTGAGCTAACATCTGCTGCCACTCCTCCTCTTTTTGCTGAGGAAGACTGGCCCTGAGCTAACATCCATGCCCATCTTCCTCTACTTTATATGTGGGATGCCTACCACAGCATGGCTTGCCAAGCGGTGCCACGTCCGCACCCGGGATCCGAACCGGCGAACCTGGGCCGCCGAAGTCGAACATGTGCACTTAACCGCTGCGCCACCGGGCTGGCCCCCAATTCTAATTTCTGCTTGACATCGTACTATTGATGATGCTGATTGACACAAGCAAGTGTGCTGTGTTCTACCAAGCCAACATCACACAATCCCAATTCATATAACAGACATTCCCAATTCCATGTATTTGAAATGTGCTCCCATGAAACATGAGTTAATCTTTTTAAAAAACTGATATATAAACACATGTTCAGAAATAGATGCACATCCTGTTACTGAATCAGTAATGAAGCAACATCAAATTTCTGAATTTACTTCTTCTCAAGAAACTGCCATTCTCATTTTTTAATTAGTCCGTTTTTGGTCTCACTATAGTACCTTGCCTGGGCCCCCGAGCCAGCTGCTTGACACAGACCTGAGTGTGGACAACATTCCCAGAAAGAAGTCTCTGTTGTTTCCTGAGAGGTCTGTGGTTCCCCGGCCCTTTGCCACCACCCAACACTCAGATGTCAGACTTCTCTAGAGGGGGAACTGGATGGCCATCCACACTCGCCTCCACACTGGATGCACTGGGGGAGCCCTCCAGTTTCCTGAGGCAGAGGCAGACCACGCTGGGGCAGCAAAGGAAAGAGGGGGCCAGAGCCTGTGCTCAGAGGTGGCGTCTTCCTGAGCAGGGTGCAGGCAGAGAGGGCACATGCTCCTCAGCACACCAGAAAGGCAGCTAACGCTGCTGCCTAGGTGTGCTCTGCACACACAGTAAACCTAGCTCACCTCAAAACCTCTATGTCAGTTTCTACTGAGATGGAGGCTCAGAGACAGTCACATCTTACATGAGATTGGTGAGACTGTCTCCTTAGCCTTCAAAAGATGGTTGTCTTTCACACTTCCACTTACGTTTAAAACTCCTAGCATAGAAGTGTTTGCCATTAGCACTTGAATGTGCTTTTGGACTGGGTTTCTGGATACATACGATAGCAGCTCTTAAAAGTCAGCGCTGGTTTTACCTGAACCCCCAACAAACCATAAACCCTAGACTAAGTCTAATGGCCCAAACTTCTAATCATCTGTCTGTCCAAATGACAAAGGAGGAGCAGTCCAGACAAGGACTCCACTCCCTATGTCTGGAACTCTGATCATAAGGCTACACCCAAGTCCTATAGGGACAGATGTCCTGTGGAGAAATAAATAAGGTTAAGACAATGACAAGTGCACAAGGACAAGTGCCCTTGGGAAATGGAGCCTTTTGAAAGCGATGAGTTCAATGTGGGCATCTAGGCAGCAGCTGTAGGTAAGAACCTCTGTGGTCAGACCAGCTCCCCTCCTTGATGGCCAGGCCCTGGCTCTGGCTCAGCCCAGGAGCAGCCCAGCCGGTCTACGGTGTGTGTGGAGGTGCAGGGAGGTCCAGCTTACCCTTCGACCCGCCTCGTTGTTCTGCAGGTTCATGAGCACTCGGCCCTGCTCCTCAGACCCTTTGGCAAAGTTCTTCTCCCGCTCCCGGGCATCCACAAACTCCTTAGCAAAGCGGTAGCCATACTCCACATTGTCCCCACAGCCACCCCACAGCCAGTCCCGGGGAAGATCCTTGGGCCGTGCTGTCCGGCTGCAGCCGCAAGTGGAGAGCTCACCCTCGCGGCAAGCCCGGCTGATGGCGTTCACCACCCCTGCAGCACTCACTGCGTAGGTGAAGGCGGTCTCTCGGCTCCCTGCAAGAGAAGGCAAGAGAGGCGGGAGAGAAGGAGGTCAACTCTGTAGCAGGGCTTTTCCTTTCCCTCTGCCTCCTCTGGACCCGGAACCATCAGCTGGGCGGTAGCTCTCCCGGGACGGGAAACAGTGTCAGGAGGGAGCACCCTTCACTGCCCATGCCTCAATGGGGAGAAACTTCTCTTGATAACGAGCTGAAATGTGCCTCCTCTGCCCTCTGAACACACAGCATATAATGACTCCCTCCAGGGCTGGCCTACACTAACATCCATTCCACAGACGTTTACATGACCAGTAGATTCCTAGGAGGCAGACCGCGATGGAAGGAAGAGTGGGCATTAAAGAATTTATGGAACATGTGGGACAAACAGAATGAGAGTGAGTAGAAATCATGGGACCGATAGCAGGACTCTTTATGTTAGCAAAAACATCTCCCTCACCACACCGATTTCTCACCACTCCATGAGCCACACATCTGTCTTTTTTTATTGCTGCCGTTATCTAGCTGGACAGTGGCAGAGATCAGCAGCAGAAGGCAAGCTAGAATTACAATGTCTAGCACCATCCAAGCTGTTTCCCTCTGGTGAACGCTGCCTCCTCATTGGAGAGCACTAGGGAACCACATCTACAGGACACTCAGCAGGGTCTCTCTGAATATCCTGATCATTTCCAGGAGAAAATCTGAACTGTGTTCCTCTTTATTGCTGTAGTGAGCTGCTTAAAAGCTCATATGATGTGTGTTCTACTTCAATAAAAGTGTTTATAAAAAATACTACTGAGCCACCAGGGAAATTCAAAGCAAAATCATAATGAGACACGACCTCACACCCATGAGGATGGCTATAATCAAAAATGTACATGATAAGTTGGTAAGGATATGGAAAAACTGGACCCCTCACGTCCTGCTGGTGAGAACATTAACTGGTGCAGCTGCTTCAGAGAACAGTCTGGAAGCTCCTCAAAAGGTTAAACATGGAATCACCACATGACCCAGCAATTCCACTCCTAAGAACAAATCCAAGATAAACGAAAACATATATCCACACAAAAACTTACACATGAATGTTTATTGGAGCATTATTTGATAATAGCCAAAACGTGGAAACAACCCATATTGTCCATCAGCAGATGGATGGGTAAATAAAAAGTGGTATTATCCATACAATGGAATATTATTCAGGCATAACAAGTAGTAAAGTCTTGGCACATGCTACAACATGGGTGAAGCTTGAAATAATTATGCTCAGTGAGCCACTTAGCATTTTGTATCTGTATTGAACCAAATACAAAGGCCACGTATTGTCTGATCCTGTTTATATCACTTTGATAACATGAAAATTCATAGAGACAGAAAGATTAGTGGTTGCCTAGGGTGTGGGGAGGAGTGGGGAGAGACGGAGAGTGCCTAGTAATGGGTATGCAATTTCTTTATAGGGTTATGAAAATGTGCTGGAACCAGAAAGTGGTGATGGTTGCATGATCTCGTGAATATACACCGAACTGTGCACTTTAAAATGGTGAATTGTATGGCACGTGAATTATATTTCAATAAAGCTGTTATAGGAAATAATAAACAATACTCATATGGACTAGGGTATGGAGGGAAGGGAGTGGTTCTTAGTGGGAAACGCAGATTCAATCCTGATCTCAGCTACTAAACCAGCCAGAGTCTTCTGCTCCCCGTGGCCTCCTCTCCTGCGTCTCCATGGTCAGAAGTAGACACCCACAACCCTGTCTTGGCAGGCGGAGAGGGAAGCAGTCTGCAATCAGTAATAGGTCTAGAGAGATCTCCCACCTTACCTACTTTTTGATTATCTAGGTGCGACACAGCGACATCTACAACCAGACCACACTGGGCAAGTCAGCTTTTCTCAGTTAACCAGGGGTCAGCTTCTGGTCAGATGTGGACTAGAAGCAGCACAAGAAAAACCCAGGTGACGCAGGAAGTCACACTCATGATTCAGCCATCAGGACGGACATTTGAGCCAGTGCTGAACCACAGCTAGAGACCAGGGATCTGTCAGGTCAAGAGCCAGATGATGGGTGTGAGCTCCCGAGAGGGCAAGATGGCCAAGAGGCTCTTAGGGAGGAGGACTCAGGGACTCATGACCTGGCATCCTGGGACAGGAAGGAGCCTCTGAAGCTGCAGCCTAGATCTACATTCCAGCCACTGTCAGCAGTCCTTTTACAACATTCCTCAGAGATCAGGTTGGGGTACCATTCCACCTTTTTTTAAATGACTCTAATTGCCTTTATTTTAAGCTGAAATATACCTTCCTCTGACTCCGCCCGCTGGAGCCATGCTGTCTCATCCCTTTGCCATCTGAGAGCCCTTCAGTATTTGAAAACAACTAATATACCTTTTCTCTTTTCTCTTTTCCGAGCTTCATATGTCTGATTTCTTCTACCATTCTTTAGCAAACATGCTTTTCAGAGCTGAAGCACCCCTCTCAGAATTGCCTCTTAAAATAATGTTCCTGGAGCTGAGCATAATATTGCAGACGTTATATGCCCTATGGTCCTAGCCTCTCACCGTTGTTGGGATCCAGTCTGTCCTCACGTGAATTAGCTGCCTCTTAGTCACTCTGTCTGCCTCTGTGGGTTGCGGGCATCACCAGGCAAGGCATGCAAGCAGCTCTGCCTTGCCGAGGCAGCATCTGGGTCTCTGGTACAGAATACTAGTGCTGTTCTCAGCAAGCAAGAGACAACTCAGGGTTTTGGAATGGATAAGCAATGCAGGGGGCTTCTTTATACGGGAAACAATTCAGAGTGGAAATTCAAACCATCTCAAGGATACAGGCTAATAAACCAGCAGCCATGGAGCTATGCGAGAGATCTTGCAGCTTCCCCTACAAGGAGACAGCAGGACAATCTCATGCCTTCTGTTCCATGGTAGCCCAACTACCAGGAAGGTGCCCCCATGTTCCCCTGGGCCCAGGCTGGGTGAAGTGCCAATGGCTCCCTCTAACCGGCTCTGCTGCCCTCTGGTGGTGGACTTTGGCGGCAGCTTCAAAGAAGGAAGGAATCTTCCAGAAGTCATACGCAAGATAGCAGTGAGAGGACTCACCAGGAGCCAGCTGGGCCCAGGGGGAGGAATGGAGGACAGCTTCCCAGGTAGCATAGCCTGCAGGGAAGCTACAAAATGGAACGGTGGAAATAAGGCAAGGAGAAGGGTTGCATCTGTAACAGAATAGGGTACAGGGAGACTGGTGGGATCTCTCCCACAAGCCACTCCACCAGGCAAATCTGTACCCAGCAAGTTTCTGCCCCAACCACCCCTCTCTTTCCTAAAGGAAAGCCTCACCTTTTGGTCTTCACTCAAACAAAATAACACATGAAAAGGATCTAGCCAACATCAGGCATACATAAGGTCCCAAATACATAGTAGTTCCCTTAAAGCGACTGGGAGATGCCTGTGTCTACAGCTGGGCCACCCTCGTTTCCTCACCTGAAACCCAGGGCAGGGAGTGCTGCTGACCAAGACTTTTATGAGGAAGACAGATACTAAGTATATCAGAGAAGAATTGATAAATTATGAACAAATCCCACGGAATCCCCAAGTCCATCCTTTTGGGAAGTTGCCCAGGAAGAATGAGCATTCCTTTAATGGACCTTGACTTGGCGCTGAAGGAAGGAAGAGAAGTGAGGTTCTGCATCCTTTCCCCTGGTGCTGCTTCTCAGTAGGAGGCAGGGGCAGGGAGGGGCCACCCAAGTGTCCTGCATAACAGAGGGGCACGGGATCTCCAAGTCCCCCACACCCCCAGCTACATCGTACTTTGGGAAAGCCCCAGCCTTAGATAACCACAGAATGCCGCCTTTGGAGGGGAAGCTGTTCTGGGAGAATGTGAGACAGGGAATACAGTGCTCTAACACCTTCCTTTTATGGCCCTGGGAATAAGACCCAGTAGAATGGGGCCGGATTTCTCAATTTCTTGCCAGGGAGGCAAGGATTGCATTTCAAAAGGACCCAAAACAATTAGACCCCAGATCACACCTCCATCTAAGCAAGAGGGTAGCCAAAGAATCCTAGACAAGGAGTGCGAGAGGGGAAAGGACTAGAATTTGGGAAGAGGCTTTCTTCTCCAGTCTGACCCTTCCCCCACTTTCACACACATCCCCTTTCAAATGAAAAAGCCAGGACTGGATCAGGGTTGGGTTAATGACAGCTATCACCAATTTGGCCCAAAGTTTCTCCCTCTCTCAGGGTCCAAGGGGAAGAGGCAAAAATCCTACTCAGGGCTGCAATTTTCGGTTCTCTGCCCAAGGCTCTCAAAAGAGACGAAGGGTAGTAGTGGTGGGAGGGTTTCCTATTCCACTCTAACGCAGCTCAGATGTTCCGAGCCCAGCCCGAATGAGTCACATGCAGGGTGCCCCACACGGCTCGAGCTGGAGGCAAGGAGCCAGCTGAGCGCCCGGTTGTGCGGTTCACACGTTATCTAAGACTGCTTCCTGTATGCATCTCCCTCTCTCCTTGCACACCACTTCCAAGGCTCGAGAGAACCCACTGGGACACTCGCACGGGCTCTCCCTGTCCCAGTCCTGAGACAGCGTCCCTGCACCCAGGCCAGGTGAGCACGGTTCCTTTTGCCAAGCCCTGTCTTGCTGGCCTCTTACCTATCTGCATGACTCTCCCAAAGACAGACGTGTTGTCCACAGTGCTGCAGTTCCACCGCCTTTGCCGGAACTGGTACTGGCACTCCTTGATGCCCGTCTTGGCTCCCTCCCCTATGTAGGCCATGTGCTCCTGGTACAATTGGCACAACTTTCTCTGGCCAGGGGAGAGCCCAGGAAGCTGGCTGCACACAGGCTGGGCACCGATGATAAACATCTCGGGTCTCTGCACCGGGTTCATAGCTAACGACCTACAGCAACAATCCAGAAAGAGGAAAAAGGCCAAGGAGTGAGCAGACGCCTGTGTGCAGCTGTTAGTCACGCATTCGACACATTTACCCAGTGCTTTCTATGTAGAAGGCCCTGTACTAAGGGCTTGGAAAGGAAAATTATTAAAAACAGTCCCTGCCTTCAAAGGGCATTGTAGGGAAACTGAGGCATGAACACAGATGACATGTGAGATGTCAAATGCCTAAGACAGACTTGAGCTTCTGGATCCACAGTGATCAGAAAGGGAAAAGGCTCTTACAGCTGAGGCGAAGCTTTTTTAAGGAGATGGCCAGAGTGTGAACTGGGTCTTAAGGAATGGGGGGCAGGCAGAGAAGGCGATAGATAGAGCAGGATATTCATTTGAGGCCGAGGGCAGAAACAGCAAACCTCCCCAGGAGAGCGCAGGCCTTATTCCAGCAGTAGGAGGGGTCAGTTCACTTTGGCCCGAGGGCAGGACAGGTGGTGGAAAGCAATCAATTCCTTTAGACACAACTCCCCTTACGCCTTTAAAATACAGTTCAATTTACATACATCTCAATATCTTCTAAATGTTTTCACTTCCGTATCTTGCCCACACATCCCCTAGCCCACTCTTTATCAGTTCAGGGCTTCTCCCTTTGCTCATCATCTAGCAAATATAATAAAATGGCAAGTTAGAGAAGAAGGCTGTAGAGTTGCCATCTGAGTAAAAATGTGAGCAGGGGACAGACCATGCAAAACAGGTGGTGAGCGCCCGCCATTTCCACGTTGACTTGGCAATGACAGTCTTAGAAACATAAAAGAAAGCCATGCACGATCCTGAAAATCCCTCATCTGGTCTTCAGACTTCTAATAGGAATTCTACTTTCCTTGCCCCTACCAGCAAAAAACAAAAGGATATCAGTATTCTTATTGATCCAATAGCAACAAAAGAGCTATTTCTAACAACCCATGAGGATGGAGGAAGGCCTAGGAAAAGCAGAACACGGACAGAATCAGAGAAGAAGCCAAACGAACGAATCCTGTATCCTCGGGGAAGCTTTACCTCTGGGGGCTTCAGAGAGAAAAAGAGCTGTCCTATTTTCCCGGGGATGAAAGAGGTCCTTAGGATTCCTCTGAATAAAGTAGTGACCGCTTCTCCACATTTCAATTACCAAAGGAGGCGCAGGTTGGACAGGAGGACTGCAGCCCCTCTCACTCACCACCAGGAGCTGGCTTCGGCCGGAAGCTGAGCCCAGCTGGAGAGCAGGGCGGCGGCGAGCAGCAGCAGGCTGGGCATGGTCGGCCTCAGCCCTCCCCAGGGCCCTGGGGAACGGAAGACCCCGGGGATGAACGGCTTCCAAAACAGGGCTCCCTGGAGAAAATAGAAGTGCAGGGAGAATCAGTGTGGAAATGCAGCAGATAAGGGGTGACCAAGAGAGAGGAGCGTGGGCTCCAGGATTCTAACGGCAAGTTCTGCTCCCCCAAAGAAATTCAGCCTCTTTTCGACCTCCATCTCCCACCTCCTCTTCTCACCACAGGGTTGCCTTTACGACTCTTACCCAAATCTGTGGGAACTTTACTTGGGACCTAATTCCAAAGGAAACAATGAGCTGAGAAACGAGAGAAGAGGAATGAAAACAAATCATTTCAAGAGCAGAGTGCGCTCCACACAGCACTTAGGAAGCTGCTTTGGCTGTTGCCACGCACACCTGCCCTTCTTCCAGAACATCCAAACAAACGAGGACCATCCTATCCTCTCCTCCCTTTGCCTCTCACTCCAGCCAGAGATGTCTCTCTCTCTCTGAGCATCAGGCTGTCTTTTGTGAGTTGGATTTACCTACAACCAGACAGGAGCCCTCCCTCTCCATCTGCACCCATCTCACTCTGAGCAAGCTTCCCCAATCCCAGCTCTTGTTTACCAGGTAATAGTAGGGAGAAGGACGAGCACTTTCCACCTTCTCAAGGCAACTTCTCTGAAAAATGCAGCAGGCATAGAGCAAAGTGCCGCCCCTAAACCTCTGGTGCTGAGCTCTGCCTTCTGAGATGGCCCCTCCTCTCCTCTGTGCTCTGTGGCCCTTCAGGGGTGGCCGCAAGCCCCTTTCCCAGCAGCACGGACAGCAGTAGTGGGGACGCGGCCAGCTCCTGCTCTGCAACCCTTGCATCAAAGGTCTCTGCCGAGGATGCGTCTTCCAGAAGCAACCACGCCTTGCCTGGGAGCTCGAGAGCTCCGCCATATGCTTTTCGTAACTAACACCTCTGCCTGTATCCCCCAAAGAACACCTCTCCTCAAACCCTGGAAAACATGGAAAATCCATGCTTCTGGATCCTAGAGCAAGTCTATAAAAACATGCCTCCTCCTACTCACTCCCACCTCATTTCTTCACTAGCCTCCCATCCAGGGCTTGACCCCACATCCCCCGTGAGTCTTCTTCCCACGACCCCTTAGCCCCACCAACCTTACACACGCAGACACACACTCACACACGTGCTCCAAGCTGCCCCCACCCCATCTCACCGCGCTGCTCCCACGCTTCTGGGTTTCCAGGCTCTCCGGGAGGGGGCGGCAGGTGATTTGGGTCATCAGCCTAGGAGATATTTTTGTCCTGAGGCCACCAAGAGAGGAAGGTCGCCTGAGCAGGATCCAGGGAAGCTGGGTCACAGCCTGTTCCCCACCCCCTTTTGGTTTTTCTTCTTGAGGTCTCAGCTGGGGCAGGGGCACCAACAGGCAGGTGTGTGGGGCCGGCAGGGGGCAGATCAAAGAAGAAACTTGCTCCTTTCCCTTTGTCATGCAGAGCCAGCTCGGAAATGATCCGGCCTCTAGCCAGGCCGACTAACTGCTCCCCACACCCAACTTTCCTAACAGACCTCTCCTCCTCCAAAGGATGCCCCCGCCTCCTCCTCCCTCTACCCCCCATAAATCCTCCCCGTCCCTCAGGGCAGGAGGTCTGTGAATGCACCGACTGGAACCAAGAGAGATGGAGCAGAGATAGGGCTGGCCCCAGAAGCTAATGGCTTTATGGAGGGGAGGGGACCAGGTCCAGAGTAAGGAGGACGAGAGAAAAGCTTCAAAGAGTTTCCTTGTCCAAACATCCTCAACTCCACCTACCAGTCCTTCTTGGGGACTGAAGAGTATGACCTGCCCCTATGCCCTGTGGTCTATCTCCCTCCCACCCGTCCGCATGCCCATCCCCACCACCACCCCTCCTGCAGACCCCTACTCCTCACCCCACCATATATCCTCACACGTTTCCACCAGATAGCTGAGTTCTTTCCCTCAACTGGTGACACTTCTCCCCATGGATCCCCCCTCACACCAGCATCTCTCACTTCGGTCACGCCCTTTCATCTGGCTCCTGTGAAATTTCTGGCTCTGCAAGTCCTAGGTTCAACTGAGGCCACGTTGAGGGGCCACTGTTTCTGAGCCAAGGACACGAGTCAGTGCCTGCTAACAGTCACTGTGGCTTTGACTCCCCGGTGACAGGCGGACAGGCGAGCTAAGGCCAAACCTCCCTAAGAGTTGCTGATCCCGCCCCTCGTGCCCCTTATAACATAAACGGAGACGGGAGTCCCTCTCCGCAGCTCTTCCACCACCCTGTGCTTTCCATCAAACTCAGCTAATTCAAAATGTATTTTAAAAACGTAAAAAAGAAAAAAAAGACTCTGGCACAGGCGGTGGCTTCTTTCTCTGCCTTCCAGATGTGTGGCACCTGAAATTGAACCCCCTCCCCCCACCAACTGACAAGCCCTGAGGATGCTCTGTCTCCTGACAGACAGACATGAGCCAGCCCTCGGGGGTCACAGAACCCAGGCGGGCAGCCTTCTGCCCTCGCTTCTATTCTTCGCTTTCCTCGTGAGGGCTGTGAGGAAGAAAGGTGAATGTTTGGTGACTGGCTTCATTCTGTGGGCAGAATGAAAACTTCTTACCTCAACCTGGCTGGGGCAGAAGAAACTGTGTGGGGACTGACGGTTTGGTCGTAATGAGCAGGACGCATCGAAAGCACTGTTTGTGGGTCACTGGTGAATTTTATGGCAGGTCTTAACCAGGGGAGGCTCTCCTTTGTGTAGGAAGAAAGAGCTAGCACGTACCCGAAAGACAGAGTTCCTTCTGCTGCCTTTCTAATAACTACAGATTTCCTCAGAGAACTAAAGTCCCCTCTTCCTGCAAGAAGGGTCATTTCACACACACCAAACACAGTTCAGGAGGAGGGGACCCAGGGTCTTTCTTCTCTGGTCGTGACTGGAAGGTCAGGGGGCCAGAAGATGCAGCATTCCCCATCAGGACCCCTCCAGAGGCCAGAAAGAGCGGGTCAGACATCTGCTCTGCTCCGATTCCTCACTCAGTGGTTCATTCATTCAATAAATTCATGAATCAAACATGTGTTGGGGGCCTAGGATGTGTCAGTTTCTGCTCTAAGTGCCAGGGATATGGCAGTGCACAAATAAATACATAATATGTCAGGTCCAGTGAATACTACGAGGAGAAATCAAGCGGACATGAAAGTCACAAATAAGGGGAGTTGGGGCAGGCCCCGTGGCCGAGTGGTTAAGTTCGCGTGCTCCGCTTCAGCGGCCCAGGGTTTCCCGGGTTCAGATCCTGGGAGCAGACATGGCACGGCTCATCCGGCCATGCTGAGGCGGCATCCCACATAGCACAACTAGAAGGATCTACAACTAAAATATGCAACTATGTACTGGGGGGATGTGGGGAGAAAAAGCGGAAAAAAATAAAAAAGAAGATTGGCAACGGTTGTTAGCTCAGGTGCCAATCTTTAAAAAAAAAAAAAAAGAAGAAGAAGGGGAGTAGTTTTCATTATTTAGGGCCCGGGGGAAAGCCATACTCTGAAACATCTGCCCACCTGTCGCTCTCCAAACCACAGTGGAGATGGGAGCAGCAGGGGTGGAACTCTCTGCGTATCCCAGACTTCCGCGGCAAGTCCAAGCCCTTACCTGAGACTGCCTCGCCCCACTTTACCAGCACAACCAAAGGGGCCCACATTTGGAAATAGGAACTCTAGGTTCTCTTCCTTTTTCTCGTTGGACTCAATCACCAATTTTCATTCCCTCAGGAGGTGTGGCCATCTGCCCAGAGACAGGAGAGCAGGTAGAGAGACCTGGACAAGTGGAGCTGAGACCCTAGCAAATTTGTGCTTTCCACACACCCTTCAGACAGTGCCTGAGATGAAAACCCCGACCCACAGACAAGGGCTTGCAAAGGTCACTGGCTGCTTATAAGAACCACCACACTGGTATGTTCAGAACTGACTTCCCCCAGAGCCCAAGGACTCAAGCAGCTATGAGTCACACAGGAAACGGTGTCACATCCCATACCTGTCCCCTCACCCCAGACAGGCACCCTCACACCTAGAAACCTACCGAGAAATAACCAAGAACCTTGGTGGGAGCCTTTTCATGCTTGCCACTGACTCCTTCTTACTGTGTGACCCAGTGTGGAGCTGGTGAATGTGCAATTTAAAAATACATTTGCAATTTTGTTAACATTCCTGGCATAGCAAGGTAGACCACCTTAGCAGCCTTTGGAAAGGGAATGCTTCCCTTTGTGAACTCCTGGCTGCATTGCTGTCAAGTATCGGCCTCTTGCTTGATGATTTCTGAGGGGTGGGGTCAGGAGGAGGAGGAGCAGGAGTGACAGAGCTGTAATCCGGAGCCTTGGCTCCTGTTGGTGACTTCATTTCCACCACTATAAAGAGCAGAGAAAGACTCCTAATGGATCTCAAAACACTTCACAAACATCTCTTCAAATGCACGTCAAGTTCATTCATTTCCTTCCTCGTTTTCAAGTGCTCAGCCTCTTTGTACCTGAACAGCAGAACAGCTCTTTGTGGTCTCACCCACATAGCTCCCACACCATTTTTCCTAAAATACTATGTGTATATCATAATACTCCTGTTTGAAAACTTATAGTGGTTCCTGGTTCTTTAACCATTCCAATCTTCCCACCTTGGCCTCATTTTCCCTGTCATTCTTTTCCTGAATTTCCCACTATGGGATCTCTTTTACAGTCTCCTACTCATCCGTAGAACAAGCCTTGCTTTCCCCCACAAGACCTCATTCTGATCCTCTTCCCAGAGATGCTTCTCCTCTTCTGCAATCCAAACGTTAAACTCCTTTCAGGTCCGTGCTCAAGGTTCATTTCCTCTGTAAAACTGTCCTTGATTAATGCAACACCATGAGAATTTTTCTATTTACTTGGGATTTCCTTAGCATTCACGAGCACAGGGATCTAGTCTATACTGCCCTATCCCAGACATGCTGCCTTGTTACTGCATGGATTTCTTACTTCTCCACTAGACCCAAAGTTTCCTGAAGGTGCAAACTTCTCTCTCCTACTTTCTCTCCATGCCCCACTGGGCC